GGCGCGCCCGCGCTCGCCCGCCGCGGCCCTGACTCACATTCCCAGCATTCCCGAGGAGCCGCTGGGGGGCGGTCCGGCGTCTCCACGGGGGGCAGCAGAGAGCGCCCGACTTGGGGGTGGGGGGCGACGGGGGTCTTCCTAGCGCTCCCTTCCTGATGGCCGCGGCCCCAGCTCCTCCCCCTTCCCAGGCGCCTATCCCCAAGCTGCCAGGTACTCCTGGGGCTTGTCAGGTGGCTGTGGTGACAGGGGATGGCACCTGACTGAGGTGGGCACAACCAACCTTCAAGTAAAGCTTTACAGTCGGGAAGGAGTTTTCAAACACTGGCATCCTCCCAAGGAGCTTAACCTTCCTTAGGACGGTAAAGGGATTTCAAGACTGCACAGGGATTTTACTTTCTTGTTCCCCCAAGAAAGGGGAGGACAGAAGAAGAGGGTTAATAAAAAAAAGAAAAACCTTGCTCTCTTTCATTGAATGCCTCCACTGTCCCATTTAAGGTAGAAAGAAGGTGACAGAATCCATTGATACCGTTCCACACAGTCACACAACCACACGATCACGTACTACTCAAGGTAACGGGCAAGAGGATTTGAACAAGTTTTTTCTTGGAAAAAGCTTTCACTCAACAAGTTTGCGGGATTTTCTTTTAATCCGCTGCCTTTTACAACGGAAAATGAGGAGAATGAGGAAATATCATGAGCATCTCCAGAGTTGATTCTCCCTCACTCTGAGGAGTCAGACTGCAGAACCAGAGCAGAGAATTCCTTACTGGCCCAATGGATCTGTTTCCAACAATGCCGGTGGCCAGATCTAAATATTCCCTGCTGGGAAGATCAGACAAATGAAGCAAATACACCCAGGAGCTGTTTTATTAGATAAAATGAACCTCTCCAAAGTGCTGAAGAGCAGTGGTGTCTCTCTGGAGACTAAGGTGCGTCTGATACAGGCCATAGTCTTCGCAATCACCTGTTATGCATCAGAGAGTTGGACAATGACCAAGGAGGATAGGAGAACTGATGCCTTTGAGCTGTAGTGCTGGAGAAGAGTACTGAGAATACCATGGACTGCTAGGAAAACAAATAGATTTGTCCTGGAGAGGGTTAAACCGGGTGGCTCCTTGGAGGCAAGGATTCTGAGGCTCCGTCTAACTTACTTCGGACATGTAGTAAGGAGATACCGGTCCTTGGAGAGGGACATCATGCTTGGGAGGGTGGAGGGACGGCGCAGGAGAGGAAGGCCCTCTATGAGATGGATTGATTCAGTGACTGGGATAATTGGGATGGGAGTGTCAGAGACAGTGCGATTGGCACAGGACAGAGCGGAGTTTAGGGCTGTTGTACATAGGGTCGCTATGAGTCGCAGGCGACTCGACGGCACATAACAACAACAACAACAACAACTCAAAGTGACCTCCTGTGTGCAGAGTAGCACTGCTCCATGGGATTTTTCAAGATTGGGAACATTCGGAAGCAGAGTACCAGGCCTTTCTTGCAAGGCACCTCTCAGTAAGCTGGAAACGTCAGCTAATAGACTAGCTATTGGCCATATGAGCCACTCAAAAATTATTTGACGGGTGAGCAAAGCTAGAATTAGCACAAGTGACCAAGGCATACTTTTTTCCTCCCCTGGTGGATTTTTTAAAAATCAGGGAAGAGAACAGTAAAAGACTGGAGCTCTTTCCTGTTTCAGCCCAGAAGCCACTTTTATGCCTTTTGTAGTTAAAATTTTTCACAGAAACCTGAGGTCCTCTTGCCCTCATCCTTTCCTTCCACTTATAATTCGCTCCCTTTCCAATGGTTTAGTGGTAAGATTTGCCAACCCAAAGGTATACAGTTCAAATCCATTTCTCAGCAGGAGAAAGATGGGCAATCAGCTGCACAATTCACTGCCTATGAAAATCCAGTGGGGTGTCAGCTATGAGTCAGTTCTGACTGGATGGTACATGACAACAACTGCCTAACCTGGGTTCCTAGGCAGCTCAAGCAGTGTGCTATCGGCTGGTAATATAAAGACTGATAGTTTGAAGTTACTCAGGGGTGCCTGAAGATCTGCCCCCATAAAGATTACAGTCAAGAATACCCTGTGAAGCAGTTCTCCCCCATAACGCATGATGTCGCAATAATTCAGAATTGACGAGTCAGCAGCAGCTTTGTGTGTTTTGTTTTCTCCTAATCAGAATGCTCCAGGAGTGAGTCAAGCCCCATCTATTCTACTTCGTTTCTCCCGTGCATCCTTGACAACCTCTGCTGAAAAGGTTTGTTATAAGACAGGCTTGTTGAAGATCCTTGGAGAACTGCAAACCTCCAGTATCTTTTGAAATATGACCAGCCTTTATAGAGCAGTAGCTCCTGTATGCAGGCACTTGAATTTTCCTCACCTAATTCTCATGACAGCTCTGTAAGATGTTTACCCATCTTTCAGGAAAATCAGGTAGCCTTATCCAAGGAGACCCAGAATTTTTTTTTTTTTCAATCTATGGTCAGTGTTCAGCTGGCTGCTCCTCTTCGTCTTTGATCTATGGGCTTTGCGCAGGAATCCTTGGCCTTCAGGATGACAATTTCTCCTGCGGATGCCACGTACTTTTTTTCCCCCCTCCAGGGAGAAGATCCATGTTTCTCAACAGATTTCTTTTAAATTGGATCCTTGACCAGAAAGGTTAATGATAATTGCTTTAAATTAAAAGAGACTTTATATACCGCAACAAGAACTGAAAATTTTAGGGATCTTAAGTAGGTTGTTATTATTATCCACTTTGGGCTTTGTTTTCTCCTCTGAGAAATTAAAAAGCTGAACCACAGGATCATCGGATCTGTTCTAACCCCAACCTTCTCTGACTTAATGTCATACCAGTACCATCACTTCAGTTCTAACTTGGAGTGACGACCCGATGTGTTATAGAGTAGAACTGTTTCAAACACTTAAAGTTCTAAAGACTGTGACCTTTCTCAGGCACATCTGAGTAATTTTGAACCACCAATTTTTCAGCTAACAGTAGAGTGGAAAATCTGTTGTCAGGAATCTCTCCAAAGTCTTGAGAAGCAATGATGTCAGTTTGAAGACTAAGGTGTGCCTGATTCCAGCCACAATCTTTCCGATCACCTGCTATGCATCTGAGAGCTGGACAATGAATAAAGATGACAGAAAAAAGATTGATGCATTTAGGTTATAGTGTTGGAGAAGAGTGTTGAATATCCCATGGTCTTCCAAAAGAACAAACAGATATGTCTTGGAGAAAGTGCAACCAGAATGTTCCTTGAAGGCAAAAATGGTGAAGCTTCATCTCACATATTTTGGATAAGTTGTTAGAAGAGACTCTTCCTTGGAAAGGACATCATGCTTGGGAAGGTGGAGGGTCAACAAAGAAGAGGAAGACCCCCAAAGAGATGGATTGATACAGTGTCTGCGGCAAGGGACTCATACGTGTCAGAGATGGTACAGGATAGAACAGATCTATTTTTCCTGGGGTTGCAGTGAGTCCTACTCAACTCAATGGCACTTAAGAACAACACATTTTCACCACCCACGGACTCCTAACTTAATACTATATAACACACATACATACACTGCTCAAAATGCTTAAGGAGTAGCCAGCTGCAGAATCTCACCCAGTAGGACAAAGAATTCTAAAATGTGGTGTAGATTGATGCCATTACCATCCCAAAGAACTTCTTAAGGTTTGTTTTACATATAATTTTCATATTAGAGAGAAGAAAGGATTTCCTACCACATCTGTAGCTCTGTACTTTGTTCTGGTTTTTTTTTCCATCTTATGCCTTCGATGCCATCCCTCCCTACAAGCTAGAGAGCACACACTCTTTCATGGCAGGTGCTTGTTCTCCCACATTCATCTGGTGTTCATTTCAACAAATAGTTTTTAGTATCCTCTCTGTGTGGTCTGTCCTGTGGACTCTGAGCCCCTTCCTTCAAGGACTGTACAATATAGCAAGGAAGATGGGCAAGGTGACAAACAATTTGCAATACTGTCTATGAAGGGCCAGAGCTCTGAAATTTGTGAGACTATGCAAGAAAAACCGCCAACCTTTTCCCAGATGTTCAGCAACATCTTCCAGAGGAAATACCATCTCATCTTTACAAGGCCCGAAGATCAGCAGAAGCTGGCTGGGCATTGAGGGTCACAGAAGATTTGAGTAGCTTTCCCTGCCATGCTCAAATTCCCTGGCCTTCCCTGCACTGAGTCAGGCATTGCAGCCCACATGCCCTATGCATCTAGCCACGGCCAATCAGATCAAGGTATAGCAATCTGGCCTGTGTGAGCCTCCACAAGCTCTCTTCCCCAATATTTGAAACAGCAGATATTGAATGGTGAGCCTGTGAACAAAATGACCCAAATAAGAAGCATGACCTCTAAAACCAGGGCACCAAAATCATCAGGAAGTGAGACCTAAGACCCTTTACCAAGGGCGCTAGTCTGCAGAGAGGACAGTAGGGCAGATGTGTATACAGACACAGCAAGTCCTAGAAACATAAAAGGTTTCAATGCTTGCCTACTCAATCTGCCCAATGTGGGCATCTAATCCGAACTCCAAACTTGATTTTCATAAACAAGATTTGATAATTTTATGCCCCAAACTTAAATCTCTGCCAAGGTCACCTATCAGGTTAATAGCATCATCACTTATTTGGTTGCCCAGACCCAAAACTACAAGCACCACTGATGCTTCCTTTTGCATATACCTCGACTCCTACAACCATCAGATTGCTTGGTCAGCTTTAACTGGTGCTGAGGTGAGCCATATTGAA